TTCAGCTCCCTCCACAGATTGTCTATGGGATTAAGGTCTGGAGACTGGCTAGGCCACTCCAGGACCTTAATGTGCTTCTTCTTGAGCCACTCCTTTGTTGCCTTGGCCGTGTGTTTTGGGTCATTGTCATGCTGGAATACCCATCCACGACCCATTTTCAATGCCCTGGCTGAGGGAAGGAGGTTCTCACCCAAGATTTGACGGTACATTGCCCCGTCCATCGTCCCTTTGATGCGGTGAAGTTGTCCTGTCCCATTAGCAGAAAAACACCCCCAAAGCATGTTTCCACCTCCATGTTTGACGGTGGGGATGGTGTTCTTGGAGTCATGGCAGCATTTCTCATCCTCCAAACACGGCGAGTTGAGTTGATCCCAAAGAGCTCCATTTCGGTCTCATCTGACCACAACACTTTCACCCAGTTGTCCTCTGAATCATTCAGATGTTCATTGGCAAACTTCAGACGAGAATGTATATGTGCTTTCTTGAGCAGGGGGACCTTGCAGGCACTGCAGGATTTCAGTCCTTCACGGCGTAGTGTGTTACCAATTGTTTTCTTGGTGACTATGGTCCCAGCTGCCTTGAGATCATTGACAAGATTCTCCCGTGTAGTTCTGGGCTGATTCCTCACCGTTCTCATGATCATTGCAACTCCACGAGGTGAGACCTTGCATGGAGCCCCAGGCCGAGGGAGATTGACAGTTTTTTTGTGTTTCTTTCATTTGCGATTAATCGCACCAACTATTGTCACATTCTCACCAAGCTGCTTGGCAATGGTCTTGTAGCCAATTCCAGCCTTGTGTAGGTCTACAATCTTGTCCCTGACATCCTTGGAGAGCTCTTTGGTCTTGGCCATGGTGGAGAGTTTGGAATCTGATTGATTGCTTATGTTGACATGTCTTTTGTACAGGTAACGAGCTGAGATTAGGAGCACTCCCTTTAAGAGTGTGCTCCTAATCTCAGCTCGTTACCTGTAAAAAAGACACCTGGGAGCCAGAAATCTTTATGATTGAGAGGGGGCCAAATACTTATTTCCCTCATTAAAATGCAAATCAATTTATAACATTTTTGACATGCGTTTTTCTGGATTTTGTTGTTATTCTGTCTCTCACTGTTCAAATGAACCTACCATTAAAATTATAGACTGATCATTTCTTTGTCAGTAGGCAAACGTACAAAATCAGCAGGGGATCAAATACTTTTTTCCCTCACTGCAAATGGGGCTGTGTCTGTGTATTCCTCATTCTTGCAGTCACTGACCTTGCAGCGGTTGTAACGTTTTAACAAATACCGTAAGGTGCTCCTGCATTGGACCTTAATTTAACACACTGGATTAGCAACGCGTTCGCCCGTGGAAATTTCAAGCTTTTAAAATAGAATGTAAAAAGTTAAATGTATTTTCTCTGGTAAATATCGGTAAGATTCAAGTGGCAGATCGAAGAGGGGGCAGGGTATATACAATCTTCCCCACCCTCTCCTTGGGTTTGCCACTATACCCTGTGCAGCCACCTATTTTCCTATACTCATGAGCAGGTTTTTTCCAAGACGATAATGTGATATTGTGTCGCGTGCCATACCGTTCCCAAGAACAATGTTGTGGACTGATCCAGCTCAAGTGCGGCACTGCTGCGGCTTACCGGCAGACACCACGGCGCATTCTGGCGTTTTTTCACGTTGTCGATGTATGGAACATGTCAATAAAAATTAACATGCGGTCTGGCGTTACAGCTCGTGGCGCGTATTTAATTACAGAGCTCAGTGTTGGGATTTTACAGGGTTGGCTGAACTTTTTAAAATACGCGAGTGGAAGAAGGTTTGTGGTGGGGTCTGGGGTGGCTAACGTACGGGATGACTGCAAGCTACCCGTGTTGGCTGTGGGATCTCGCGTGGATTACTGGGTCCTGGTGAAGCAGGGCCCCAGGGTCTCGGATATAAGGTCGGGTTTAAATCAGGGTGGCAACATGCGGCGGCTCTTTAAGGACTGCTTCGTGACGTTATTTATTTAAGACCACCGTCTTGTATTCACCCACAGTGCATTGCGGCTCTTGTTATTTTGGTTGCCGACCCCCTGGTTTAAATGGATTATTCAGGAATGGGTCCCATGTTCTTTTAAATATTGGCTCCTTTAATTATTTATCCCAGTGGTCCAGAGAGGTTTAAGCTGCTTTCGGAAATTATTCCATGGCACTAAGGATGCGGTCCGTGATATTGCCACGTGCTCATCACGTTGGTGTTACGTGCAGCTACTTCAGGTAGGGTTTAAAGTACAGTATATTCTATAACGCGCGTTGTTTTCACAACGCGATAATGAATGTATGCGGGAAAAAAACAATTCTACCGCGGATGCGAATTAGACATAACGCGATCGAGTAAACAGATCTTCGTCGCGCGAGTGGAAATAGGCGGTCGTACGCCTGCCTCCGCGTACCATCACGCAAGGCGGGATGATCCTGGATACTTGTAGATGCTACCCATGGACCTCATTCTTTGTTCGGCCTGCATACGCTTCTCACTGTACTCTATCCTCTATAATATATTGTTTATCATAACGCGATTTTTCCATAACGCGGTGTTCTTCAGGAACACAACAACTACCGCGTTATGGGAGAACAGACTGTCGCACCAACCTGGCGTGGAGACCAAGTGCTCTCCACGCCACTACTATATATTATGCTCGTGGTAGTATTCCAATTTGTTCTGAGATCACAATAAACATTTTGCCATCCATCCGTGGGTCCTGATCCCACATATTGGCCACCGCTGGGGGAGTATGTCGAATTTTCCAACGTGGAAAAATCGTAATTGCAAAAAATTCCCATTTTTAAGGTTGTCCATAACATGCTAAGCCTAAACAAAAATAAAGCTGTGAAAATTGTACAGTTTTTGGTGACAAGCGGCATAGGTTAGAACAGTGATGCATCGTATATATGTTTAACTTCTTTCACACCGTACGAAGCCAATCGTGCTAATCGGAGGTACATGATCCGTCAGCTTTGACCAACAATAGCACAGATTTAACCCTGTAATGCTAAGCATTGTTTTATTTTGTAATCGAGGGACTCGACTCTATGTCAATAAAATCCGTTTCTTGTACAAAGCAACGGTGTTCTGTCCATGGTCGTCTCCTGTCCTGTCGCGTGCCCTGTCTCCTGTCCTGTCCCGTGCCCTGTCTCCTGTCCTGTCGCGTGCCCTGTCTCCTGTCCTGTCGCGTGCCCTGTCTCCTGTCCTGTCCCGTGCCCTGTCTCCTGTCCTGTCGCGTGCCCTGTCTCCTGTCCTGTCGCGTGCCCTGTCTCCTGTCCTGTCCCGTGCCCTGTCTCCTGTCCTGTCCCGTGCCCTGTCTCCTGTCCTGTCGCGTGCCCTGTCTCCTGTCCTGTCCCGTGCCCTGTCTCTTGTCCTGTCGCGTGCCCTGTCTCCTGTCCTGTCCCGTGCCCTGTCTCCTGTCCTGTCGCGTGCCCTGTCTCCTGTCCTGTCCCGTGCCCTGTCTCCTGTCCTGTCCCGTGCCCTGTCTCCTGTCCTGTCGCGTGCCCTGTCTCCTGTCCTGTCCCGTGCCCTGTCTCCTGTCCTGTCGCGTGCCCTGTCTCCTGTCCCGTGCCCTGTCTCCTGTCCTGTCGCGTGCCCTGTCTCCTGTCCTGTCCCGTGCCCTGTCTCCTGTCCTGTCGCGTGCCCTGTCTCCTGTCCTGCCAAGATGCACTTCGAAGGTGCCGTGCGCATTTAAAGCCCGTGATGTATAAACTTCCCATCACTCCTGGGGAAGTCTTGTAACTGGTGACAAGTTGTCTGCGTGGTCCCCTCCTGACTAACACACCACGTGTCCATGTGTGGCAGATACAGGACAAGAGATGTGCGTGTATGTCGCTGTGCGTGTGGCCACCTTCTCACACTGACACCTTGCACACACAGAGGGGCCCGGGCAACGCCACACGCTTATCATCTCACATTTATTCTGCATCATTAATATAAATACACTAATATATATACGGCTTAAGCTGATCCGGATGATGCGATTAAGTGCTTGTATATACACTGCTATATGTGCAGCTGAACACGCGCTAGGCGGAACGGTTCAGAATTTGACGAAATGTTTTTCTTACACAAAAAAACTCCAAAGCGATATTTCTTCTTCCAGTGAAACAGCAAAACTTTTACCGAGTTCAACTCGAATTCATGAACTTTATAAAAACGAGAGAAGGAGAGAGTCCCATAATTAACGTAAATTGTATATAACTTAATTGTTTTCTTCATCAGGCACGGCAGGTGAACGCGGAGTTTCCCGTCAAAACGCACAGCGTTCTCTCTCCTCTCGGCGAGTTACTTTTGGTCCACGCATTAGCACTCAAGTACACCACACGCCACGCACGAGCACATCTTACATTTGCGCTTTCGACTCTGCACTGCTAAGCTACATTTTGAGATGCATATTGATTTGAAGTGGTGGAGCGGTGTTACACCAGCGGTTGGCGCACCGCGCCCAGTATGAGCCCGATGACCTGAGTTCAATTCCCGGCCATGGCTAAAGTCGGCGATCCCTGCGGAGCGAGGAGGTCCCTGTGGAGTGGGGGTCCGAGTGGAGTGAGAGGGTTCCTACGGAGTGAGCGGGACCATGCGGAGTGAGGGGGGCCCTATAGAGTGAGGGGCCCCGTGGTGGGGGAGCTATGGAATGAGGGGGCCCCTGCAGACTGGGGGGGGGGGGCTATAGAGTGAGGGGGTCCCTGCGGAGTAGGGGGGGTCCCTGCGGAGTGAGGGGGGGGCTATAGAGTGAGGGGGTCCCTGCGGAGTGGGGGGGGGGGCTATAGAGTGAGGGGGTCCCTGCGGAGTGGGGGGGGTCCCTGCGGAGTGAGGGGGGGGGCTATAGAGTGAGGGGGTCCCTGCGGAGTGGGGGGGGTCCCTGCGGAGTGAGGGGGGGGCTATAGAGTGAGGGGGTCCCTGCGGAGTGGGGGGGGGGGTCCCTGCGGAGTGGGGGGGGCTATAGAGTGAGGGGTCCCTGCGGAGTGGGGGGGGGGGCTGTAGAGTGAGGGGGTCCCTGCGGAGTGGGGGGGGGTCCTACGGAGTGGGCGGAGGTCCCTGCGGAGTGAGCGGGCTCTATAGAGTGAGGGGCCCTCTGTGGAGTGGGGGGGGGCTATAGAGGGGGGCCCTGCGAAAGTGAGGGGGTCCCTGCGGAATGAGGGGGGCCCTATAGAGAGGGGGCACCTATAGAGTGAGGTTACCCCCATTGTGGGTGAGCTTCTCTGGCGTCGATCACTGAGCTGAGATGCACATCCCGATCCCTGATTGTCCACGCTCGTGTTCCGTGTAAAGCACTCTCGGTTATCGCTTTGGTTTCACGAGTTGGGTTGCGTGGTGATCAAAACAATAATTGCATTGTCATTTAATGACATTGAATGACAACAATTATAGCATTGACAACAATTATAGCATTGTTGTAGCATTGTTGTTGTCATTTAATGACTTCTCTCCACTGCTGCATAAACTCGCATCAGTTGCAAGAATTGCCACCTTAATGGCACGTGACGGTGTTCCACAAGACTCGCGTATAAACGACGCTCATCGACGGAGTTGGCTCAACATCCTAAAATAGGACCGCAGAGCTCAGGCAATTGTTGGTGGCACTGGCTCTGGCTGCCCTCCCACCCATCTGTGGTTTTCCCTGCGCCTCCGCGTGCGGAATCGGTGCGTGGCGCTACAAACTCTCCAGCGGCGATTTAATCTGCGATAGAAAAATATTCTTGTTATTTTGATCCAGTTTGCTGGAATACTCGATGGTTGGGACAAAAATACAACTTGTATCACCTATGTTACCTGTTCTGCATACACCGTGTGTTACATTGCATCTCTCATTTGTTTACACATAACACTCGCTCTCCCCAGCCCCCAACTATCATGGCATCGTATTCATTTTAAAAAACATGGATTACATTTCAACTGCTGTTCTCTGTGACGTCCACATCTATTGCCCGCACAGACATCACCAGTCTCGGCACCTCTTTCCCGCTGCACAGTCGAGCCAGCCCCGTTATTGTTTCCACCGCAGAAGCTGCGCAGCGCCGCCGACGTCGCACGCGCAACGCGGACGCCGCGTCCCTACGGCGTGCCGACGTCACACCCAGCGAATGCGTCGTTGGCCCCGCCCCTGGCCCTGCTTGGCCTCTGAGCCGGAACGTCTCGCACGGTTCGGTTAGGGCCCGGCACGGCAAGTAACATGAGTGGGAAAACCGCCCGTACGGCGCTGGCTCGCCTCGGCCGTGCCCCAGCGGAAAGGGGGACCTCGTCCCTTGGCAAGTCGTTGCGGAGGCCCCCCTCGTGACCCACGGGCGGGGCCGCCATCGGCTCGCCCCGGCCTCGCGAAGCCGCCCCCCGGCTTAGTAGTAGGAGCTGAGGTGTGAGGCGACGTGCGCGCCCGGGTGCCGAGGAATGGCAGCCTGCGTCGCGTACATTCCCCCGGCCGCCGCCGCCGCCGCGGCCGCGGCCGCCGCGCTCCAGTACGGGTTGCCGGCACCGAACGCGGCGGGCGACGAGACGGGGCCGTGGGGCGGCGGTGGGGCGGCGCCGGCGAAGTTTTCCTTGTGCTGGTGGTAGGAGGCCTGCGCGTAGGAGAGCTCGCCCGGGTAGCGGTACGCGCCGGGCTCGGGCGGTGGGTGAGGCTGCAGCGCCTGCGTGATGCCGTGGAAGTCGAACTTGTAGGCGTAGCGCTTGCCGTGCACCTTGGTCATGATGTTCTTGTCGTAGTAGTAGCGCAGCGCGCGGCTCAGCTTGTCGTAGTTCATGTTGGGCTTGGACTTGCGCTCGCCCCAGCGGCGCGCCACCTCGTCCGGGTCGGTCATCTTGAACTCGCCGTTGGTGCCCTCCCACGTGATGCAGCCCGCGTTGGCGCAGTCTGATAGCAGCTCGAGCAGGAACTGCCACAGCTGGATCTGGCCGCTCCCTGGCACGGGCGCCAGCCGGGGGGCGGGGACACGACGGGCACCGTCAGCACCACCATCACTCCCCGCGCCAATCACCGGAACACTCGGAAAACGACAGTTCACTCGCGTCACCGCTGGTGCAAGGGTGCTTCGATGAGAGGGAGCTCTATCGAGAGAGATTCTAGGCCAGTGTTCTTCATTGCAAGGCCCGCGGGCCACTGGCGGCCCCCGATGGCCTCTAGTGCTGCCTCCGACAATACACAAAAGTGAAAACACCCCCCATCATCATCGTGCTGCTGTCAAACCCAGCAATGGTTTCAAATGTGTCACGGCCCTCGCACTACTGATGATGTCTTATCGACCAAAGTGCCCCCCCTAGTGAAGAACACTGATCTAGAGGGTATCTGATCTACTCTTCAACACTGGCCCGACGTGATTGAATAGATGGGAGTGCCCACACTTTACCCCACCACACGTGACCTACCACCGTTCAACTGTGTTGTAACCAATATTTGCAGTGTTTCAGCCGCCGCGCCTGGAGATGGAATCGAACCGGCGACCTCTGGATCGTAGAGGCCGCCGAACTGCGTCGTCGGCGACGCGGTCGTGCAGACAATTCTCTGCAGCTTCTATCCGTTGTATAAAACATCCTCGTGTAGTTACAGACATTTACGAAGGTCTCCTGATACCATGTCGGCTATGGGGGGGGGGGCCTGTCTGACCATACTTCACCACACTTATCAGCGCGGTGTGTAGTAAACATCGCCGCTGAGGAGACAAAGGCGGTCGGGCGGGCGGGCGGTCAGGCGGGCGGGCGGGCGGGCGTGGTGCTGGCCACCCCAACCCCTCGTGTGCCGTGCCGGCCTTAATAGGTGCTACTCGCTAACAGCACTTGCCCCAACAGTCTGCTCAGGCTATATGGGGGGACCTTTGTCTTTATGTGACACGGCCGCATTCCCGCGCTGCACATCTGCGCTGAGCCAAGCGTGGCGCATGCGAGCGAACGAGAGAGAGTACGAGCATGCCTCGGTACCTGGGTTGGCGAGTCGGCTGCTCGTGGGACCCAGTATTTGGTACGGATCTGGATTTAGGAGTCGAAATCCACGAGAGAGGGAGGGAGAGAGGGAACAACAAGGAGACACACATATCATGCTGAGCTCGGTGCATTGTGAACTAAAACTAAACTATATTTTTTATTTTATAAGGTAAGTTCCACTGAGCTATACAGTTTTTTTTTCAGAAGCGACCTGACCACAGATGTTAGATCAACGAAGTGGCTTATCGTGCGGAAATTTATAACAGCCAAATTCTCAAAACGCGTGATGTTGATTCTAAATGCAGAGGGAAAAAAACGGAAGACGCGGCGAAAAAGTCCACGTGACCATGGGGAGAGAGACACGCAAACTCCAAATATACAGCAGCAGGCATCAGGGTTGCAATCGAACCCACGACCTCCTGTGTACCTGGCGAGATAGTGAACGTCTCGCCACCACGGCGCCCCAAACCCTCGTCCACAGAAGCCGGAGCCACTGGGGGGCCCTCATTCCGTGGGAATGGGACTCGACGAGTGAAGCAACGCATACTTCGCGAGACTTACCCGGCTGGGGCCTCTGCTCTCCGGGTTTGTTGACCGCCGGGACCGCGGCTCCGGCTTCTGCGGACAAAGTGGCGCTCGTTGGCAGCTGCGGCGGCGTACGCCGAGGGTTTGGTGCGCCGTGGTGGCGAGACGTTAACTACCTCGCCTGCTATACAGGAGGTCGTGTGCTTCGATCCCGACCCTGACGTCTGTTAATAACAATTTGCATTTGTAAGGCGCATTTCATCCACGGATCCCAATGCACCAAATATTGGCCAGGTAGCTTCTAAAAAAGAGCTAAAAAAGAGCTAAATAGCTCAATTGACTTTACCTGGTAATGGTAATAAATAAATACGCATTTTTAGTCTTGGCTCCCGCATTCCACGTGACCGTGACGTGCACGAGGGGGTTCGTACGATCCGACATCCCTGTCCTCGCTTCAGATCGACCCCGATAACGCAAAGTCAGATGTTCGTGATGCCACAGCCAAGACGCCACTCCTGCTGCTTCTTCCCACCAGAAGTGGCATCGCCCTGGCAAACCCGAGTTCGATTCCCGCTCGTGGCCAACACCAGCGACGATTATCTGAACCCGTCTTGGGCTTCCCTTAGGTCGTGGCTGTGTGACTCTGTGGTCGTGTGGCTGTGTGGTTGTGTAGCTGTGGTTGTGTGGCTGTGTAGCTGTGCGGTTGTGTAGCTGTGCGGTTGTGTAGCTGTGTAGCTGTGTGGTTGTGTGGCTGTAGCTGTGTGGCTGTAGCTGTGTGGCTGTGTAGCTGTGTAGCTGTGTGGTTGTGTGGTTGTGTGGCTGTGTGGTTGTGTGGCTGTGTGGCTGTGTGGTTGTGTGGCCGTGTGGCTGAAGATGTGTGTGGCCGTGTGGTTGTAGCTGTGTGATTGTAGCTGTGTGATTGTAGCTGTGTGATTGTAGCTGTGTGGTTGTGGGTGTACCAGCTTTAGGCGGGGGTTGTGCTGCCTGCTCGGGGTAGGGCGGTACGCTGGGGTACGTCAAGGATGAGCTGCCTGGAACGGGAACAACAGGCAACACGATCACCATCGTCGTTACCAGCGGAGTCGACGCAGATCATAAGACGATGCATCCCCAGTTACTGCATTAAACACGGGGGGGGGGGCAAACAGGGTCGTGAGAGAGGAGTCTGCACGCAGGAAGAGATGCCACGCACTCTCATCCAGCATCATCATCATCAGGTTCAATTGTGCAAATATAGATGTGTCGTTAAACCCACCACCACCCGACACAGCTAATTATCAAGGTTTGTCACGTAAGTTAATAGTTCAGAACACCTGAGTCTGCTGATGAGACATTGCATGTCTGAATGTTAAAACCGGTCCAGTCTTTTTTTTGTGTTGAACCAATATTGCTGATAAGATGCACTCCCAGAAGGCCGCGTGGCTCGTGGAATGTGTAAAAAAAACTTCGATTTTAGTGAAAGCGATTTCCCAGTGCGACCTCGATCGGCGTCACAAGACAAAGAATCTAAGCGGATCTCGAGCAGGGCAGCGCGGCGCTACGAGTTGGAGAACGGCCCGCAGAAGCGGATATCACAGAGCTACATCTAAGATCCCATCAAGCGGCCTTGGGTCCACATTCCCACCCACTTTGCATGAGAGTGAGGTTCGTTGCGCGACAGTCACGCTGATGTCTAATTCTCACAGATGGAGCCAAATGAAGTGTAGAACCAAATCTGATGTGATGGTGATTTTTTGTGTATGCAGTCATTGGTGACCAAGTCGCTGCACTTGAGAACCCAGTTTGATCACAACTCAGTCCGTGGTGACGCAGTGGTGAAACTCGTGCCTGCCTCCCAAGCGCTTGTGTTCGATTCCCGACTCGGGGGCTTTTCTGCTTTGAGTTTCTATGTTCTGTCCCTTTTCCGCATGGGCTTCCTCCCACAGATAATCCCACAAATATGGGCTTCCACTCACAGATAATCCCACAGGTATGGACTTCCCACAGATAATCCCACAGGCATGGGCTTCCTCCCACAGATAATCCCACAGGTATGGACTTCCTCCCACAGATAATCCCACAGGCATGGGCTTCCTCCCACAGATAATCCCACAGGTATGGACTTCCTCCCACAGATAATCCCACAAATATGGGCTTCCACCCACAGATAATCCCACAGGTATGGACTTCCCACAGATAATCCCACAGGTATGGACTTCCTCCCACAGATAATCCCACAAATATGGGCTTCCTCCCACAGATAAACCCACAGGTATGGACATCCTCCCACAGATAAACCCACAGGTATGGGCTTCATCCCACAGATAATCCCACAGGTATGGACTTCCTCCCACAGATAATCCCACAGGTATGGGCTTCATCCCACAGATAATCCCACAGGCATGGACTTCCTCCCACAGATAATCCCACAGGCATGGGCTTCATCCCACAGATAAACCCACAGGTATGGGCATCCTCCCACGGCTAAACCCACAGGCATGGACTTTCTCCCGCAGATAATCCCACAGGCATGGACTTCCACAGATAATCCCACAGGTATGGGCTTTATCCCACAGATAAACCCACAGGTATGGGCATCCTCCCATGGCTAAACCCACAGGCATGGACTTCCTCCCACAAATAATCCCACAGGCATGGGCTTCATCCCACAGATAATCACACAGGTATGGACTTCCTCCCGCAGATAATCCCACAGGTATGGGCTTCATCCCACAGATAATCCCACAGGTATGGACTTCCTCCCACAGATAATCCCACAGGTATTGACTTCCGCAGATAATCCCACAGGTATGGACTTCCTCCCGCAGATAATCCCACAGGTATGGACTTCCTCCCACAGATAATCCCACAGGTATGGGCTTCATCCCACAGATAATCCCACAAGCATGGGCATCCTATAGCTGAACCCACAGGTTTGGGCTTCCTCCCATGGCTAAACTCACAGGTATCGGTTTCCTCCCACAATTAAACCAACAAGTATGGGCTTCCTCCCAGAACTAAACGCACATGTATGGCCTTCCACAGATAAATCCACAGGTATGGGCTTCCTCCTACTTCTAAACCCACAGGTTCCTCCCACATCGGCACAATGTAACTTATATTGGTCATCCCAGGACTGAAAGGTCACCTGCCAATTACTTAATTGCGATCACAGCAGCAGTAGCAGCATGAGCAGCATGAGCAGCAGTAGCAGCAGCAGTAGCTGCAGCAGTAGTAGCAGCAGTAGCTGCAGCAGTAGCAGCAGTAGCAGCAGCAGTAGTAGTAGCAGCAGTAGCTGCAGCGGTAGTAGTAGTAGCAGCAGTAGCTGCAGCGGTAGCAGCGGCAGTAGCGGCAGCAGTAGCAGCAGTAGCAGCATGAGCAGCAGCAGCAGTAGCTGCAGCAGTAGTAGTAGCAGCAGTAGCAGCATGAGCAGCAGTAGCAGCAGTAGCAGCAGCAGTAGCTGCAGCAGCAGTAGTAGCAGCAGTAGCAGCAGTAGCAGTAGTAGCAGCAGTAGCAGCAGCGGTAGTAGTAGCAGCAGTAGCAGCATGAGCAGCAGTAGCAGCAGCAGTAGCTGCAGCAGCAGTAGTAGTAGTAGCAGCAGTAGCTGCAGCGGTAGTAGTAGTAGCAGCAGTAGCAGCGGCAGTAGCGGCAGCGGCAGTAGCGGCAGTAGCATCACCCCCTCCCTCCCCGACTGGAAGCACTTGGCAGGACGCTCCTGAAGGAGATGTCTGCGACTCGGCGTGAGTGAGCCGCCTCAAGCCTGGGAGACGCGCAGCGGGAGGCCGCTCACTCTCGCGAAGGTAGTTGAGGTGGGACAGCAGCATGTCGGCGTTGTAGGCCGAGGTGAGCTGCGCCATGTCCTCCTTGGTCATCTTGCACAGATCCTTGCCATCCAGCGAGTGGAAGAGCGGCGCCTCCACGCTCACGAGCGCGTACTCCTTCACCGCCCAGTCCAGCCACTGGCGCACGTGCTCCGCGCTCCACAGCATGGGGTCTGCACGCACGCACAGACGGATATCAACACCACCACCACCAAAGACAAAGATCCCCTGTATAGACTTAGCAGACTGTTAGGGAAAGTGATGTTAGCGAGTAGCAGCATCTTCGAGGCCAGCCACATAACCACAGCCGCAACCACACAGCCTCGGCCACAACCACACATATCACCACCCACACCACCACCTACACATCCGCAGATCCCCCGTGTAGCCTTAACAGACTTTTGGGGCAAGTGCTGTAAGCGAGTAGCAGCACCTTTGAAGGTCGGCACGGTACACGAGGTGGTGGGTGGCCAGCACCACGTCCGGCCGCCCCAGTGGCAATATTTGTACACACAGCACCAGGTACTCATTTGTAGTTGGGTGGACCTAGGGGACGCCCAGGATCCGTTCACATATTCGTCACTGGTGTTGGCCGCGAGTGGGGATCGCAGCGCAGCGCTAACCACTACACCACCGCTCCTCCTCCCGACACCACCACCACTACCTAGCGCACACGCAGCGCGCTGGGGAAAATGTGATGGGGTGTGGTAACGGAGACCATGCCCGGTCGCCTTTGTCTCCCCAGGGCCGATGAGTGGGTGTGAGTGTGTGGTTGGAGTGAGTGTTGCTGTGACCTGTAGTGTGGTGGTGTGAGTGAGTGAGTGTGTGGTTGGAGTGTTGTTGTGACCTGCAGTGTGGTGGTGTGAGTGTGTGGTTGGAGTGTTGTTGTGACCTGCAGTGTGGTGGTGTGAGTGTGTGGTTGGAGTGTTGTTGTGACCTGCAGTGTGGTGGTGTGAGTGAGTGTGTGGTTGGAGTGAGTGTTGTTGTGACCTGTAGTGTGGTGGTGTGGATGAGTGTGTGTGTGGAGTGAGTGTTGTTGTGACCTATAGTGTGGTGTGGGTGTGTGTGTGGAGTGAGTGTTGTTGTGACCTGCAGTGTGGTGGTGTGAGTGAGTGTGTGGAGTGAGTGTTGTTGTGACCTGTAGTGTGGTGGTGTGAGTGAGTGAGTGGTTGGAGTGAGTGTTGTTGTGACCTGTAGTGTGGTGGTCTGAGTGAGTGAGTGTGTGGAGTGAGTGTTGTTGTGACCTGTAGAGTGGTGGTGTGAGTGAGTGTGTGGTTGGAGTCAGTGTTGTTGTGACCTGTAGTGTGGTGGTGTGAGTGTGGTTGGAGTGAGTGTTGTTGTGACCTGCAGTATGGTGGAGTGAGTGAGTGTGTGGAGTGAGTGTTGTTGTGACCTGTAGTGTGGTGGTGTGAGTGAGTGGTTGGAGTGAGTGTTGTTGTGACCTGTAGTGTGGTGGTGTGAGTGTGTGGTTGGAGTGAGTGTTGTTGTGACTGCAGTGTGGTGGTGTGAGTGAGTGGTTGGAGTGAGTGTTGTTGTGACCTGTAGTGTGGTGGTGTGAGTGAGTGGTTGGAGTGAGTGTTGTTGTGACCTGCAGTGTGGTGGTGTGAGTGAGTGTGTGGTTGGAGTGAGTGTTGTTGTGACCTGTAGTGTGGTGGTGTGAGTGAGTGAGTGTGTGGAGTGAGTGTTGTTGTGACCTGCAGTGTGGTGGTGTGAGTGAGTGTGTGGTTGGAGTGAGTGTTGTTGTGACCTGCAGTGTGGTGGTGTGAGTGAGTGAGTGTGTGGTTGGAGTGAGTGTTGTTGTGACCTGCAGTATGGTGGTGTGAGTGAGTGTGTGGTTGGAGTGAGTGTTGTTGTGACCTGCAGTGTGGTGGTGTGAGTGTGTGGTTGGAGTGAGTGTTGTTGTGACCTGCAGTGTGGTGGTGTGAGTGAGTGTGTGGTTGGAGTGAGTGTTGTTGTGACCTGTAGTGTGGTGGTGTGAGTGAGTGTGTGGAGTGAGTGTTGTTGTGACCTGTAGTGTGGTGGTGTGAGTGAGTGAGTGGTTGGAGTGAGTGTTGTTGTGACCTGCAGTGTGGTGGTGTGAGTGAGTGAGTGTGTGGTTGGAGTGCGTGTTGCTGTGACCTACAGTGTGGTGGTGTGAGTGAGTGTGTGGTTGGAGTGAGTGTTGTTGTGACCTGCAGTGTGGTGGTGTGAGTGTGTGTGTGGAGTGAGTGTTGTTGTGACCTGCAGTGTGGTGGTGTGAGTGAGTGTGTGAGTGTGTGGAGTGAGTGTTGTTGTGACCTGCAGTGTGGTGGTGTGAGTGAGTGAGTGTGTGGAGTGAGTGTTGTTGTGACCTGCAGTGTGGTGGTGTGAGTGAGTGTGTGGAGTGAGTGTTGTTGTGACCTGTAGTGTGGTGGTGTGAGTGAGTGAGTGGTTGGAGTGAGTGTTGTTGTGACCTGTAGTGTGGTGGTGTGAGTGAGTGTGTGGTTGGAGTGAGTGTTGTTGTGACCTGTAGTGTGGTGGTGTGAGTGAGTGAGTGTGTGGTTGGAGTGAGTGTTGCTGTGACCTACAGTGTGGTGGTGTGAGTGAGTGTGTGGAGTGAGTGTTGTTGTGACCTGTAGTGTGGTGGTGTGAGTGTGTGGTTGGAGTGAGTGTTGTTGTGACTGCAGTGTGGTGGTGTGAGTGAGTGGTTGGAGTGAGTGTTGTTGTGACCTGTAGTGTGGTGGTGTGAGTGAGTGGTTGGAGTGAGTGTTGTTGTGACCTGCAGTGTGGTGGTGTGAGTGTGTGTGTGGAGTGAGTGTTGTTGTGACCTGTAGTGTGGTGGTGTGAGTGAGTGTGTGGTTGGAGTGAGTGTTGTTGTGACCTGTAGTGTGGTGGTGTGAGTGAGTGAGTGTGTGGTTGGAGTGAGTGTTGTTGTGACCTGTAGTGTGGTGGTGTGAGTGAGTGTGTGGTTGGAGTGAGTGTTGTTGTGACCTACAGTGTGGTGTGAGTGAGTGTGTGTGTGGAGTGAGTGTTGTTGTGACCTGCAGTATGGTGGAGTGAGTGAGTGTGTGGAGTGAGTGTTGTTTGAGACCTGTAGTGTGGTGGTGTGAGTGAGTGTGTGGTTGGAGTGAGTGTTGTTGTGACCTGTAGTGTGGTGGTGTGAGTGAGTGTGTGGTGTGAGTGTTGTTGTAACCTGTAGTGTGGTGGTGTGAGTGAGTGAGTGTGTGGAGTGAGTGTTGTTGTGACCTGTAGTGTGGTGGTGTGGATGAGACTAAACAGTGTCTGGTAGACCGAGTCCTCAACATGGGAGAAGGAATCAAGGAGTGAAGTTCACGAGCACGTTAGCTATGATAGTAGTAGCTATGAAGGCAACCGAGTCAATATAATAACGCAGTGCCTGTGCTACCCGCGCCAAGGTTCCCATAGGCACGGCGAGTCTCCGACACAGCGTGAAGTCGCTGCACAGCAGGGGCCCACGTTGCGGTGTGATCCCAATTTGTCCACACGTGGATGATGGGCTCTTGCCGAATAACGTCACGGGATCTGTAACGTCCACTGTGAGTGAAGCAGACGGAGCCGTACTGTAAGGTTTGGCCAGGGCGGCCGCTGGAGCTGAACCGGGAACCAAGTTTACCCTCTCTTTGTTTGTATTCAGTCGCAGGGGAAATAAATGAAGCGAGCTCCGAGGTTGGCAGGATGCGGCTCTTCAAGGACTGCTTCGTGACGTCGTTTATGTGAGGGTCACCGTCTCGCGTTCACCACACGGTGCATTAACTCCGCTTCAAATATTGAGGAATTATCATTCCTGTTATTTGAGCCAAATTCGACAACAATGTCTTTGCTGCGAGGAAATTCGGAAACGTTTAAAGTTGCCATTTTACTAATTGGATTGCTGGTTTAGCTTGGTGGTCTGCGTGCACATTGAAACGACAATCGTTTGTTTTTGTTGTAACTTTCTGATCCGTGACAAGAGCTTCAAAGCCTCTCGGATTCTCCCGTCTAAATCAAGATTCCGATTCTGCTGTGTGCGAGGGAACGCTGCGATACGATACTCACGGATCGCGACTGAATCACCGAGCGTGCCGATATTAGCTAATCAACAAAAGGGGATCGATTGGCAATTGATCTGACGCAGCGATTAACCCACAAATTACGATCGACTTTCAGCCGGGCTTCAGGATCGACCGAGCAGAATCGATACTTCACCTCGATCCACAGAGACCAAATATGGGCAAAGACACGCCCCACCTTCGGTGCAACACCACGCCCACTTCCACATGCAGAGGACTCCTCTACTTACGAACGAGTAAAGGTTGCCAGCGGTCTGTTCGTATTAGTTGATGTAGACGCCACCACCGCCAGTTATGGTGATGGCGGTTGAACTAACTTGCGACTCTCGATCCGGACAGGCAACTGGGCGAGCCGGCGGGTTGGGGGCGTCTATGAATGACGTCACGCGATTTTGAAGATTTTGACCCCCCCCCTTCGTCACACGACGTCACAAATGTCTGACCCCCCCCCCCTCTAAGGGGCGTGACGTCATTTATGGACGGACCCTTGTTCGTATCTCTGAAAGTTCATAAGTTGAATGTTCGTAAGTAGAGCAGTCTCTGTGTAAAGGGGAGCGGGGCGGGGGAGCAAATCTCGGATGGGTGATCTCGTTGTGTGTCCGATGCCATCACTGATTAATACCGCGCGGTGCGTGCGAGCGCGTGGTTTATACCCGCGGGCACGATGACGCGCTTCTCGTTGGTGGTCATGTTGGGGGGAGGCGGGGAGCCCTTCTCCTCCACGTAGCCGTAGCCCAGCTGCGATGCGTCCCCGCCGCCGCTCGCTGCCGCCTTGGCCCTCTTCGTCACGCTGCAGTCCACCGGCGCCTCTCTGTGCGAGACAAGCCGCCGCTTAGATCCGCGATTCGCCCGTGTTTCAACTATATAGAGATAAAAAAAAACATTTTATTTTCATCGTCCGATATCCTAAATTATCGGCAACGCTTGAAGTAACGTCTTTTAATATGATGAAGGATGATTGTGGAAATACAATTGAAGACGTGCTTGAGATACATTGGCGAAAGTCGAACACGGGCTAACGAACCAATCGGAAGCCGGGAAGCGCGCGCGCGCCGATACTTCGCTGCACGTGGTCTGTCGGGCAGCGCGTCACGGAGTGTCGATTCAACGGACACGAAAAAGCAGCGGAACATCGACAACTTTGACACGTGAGCACCGTGGCGTTGAGATGTTAACTCCCTCGCCTGGTACACAGGAGGCCGTGAATTAGATCCCGACTCTGACGCCTGCTGCTGTATATTTGAAGTTTGATTGTCTCTCTCCCACCGTGGTCGCGTGGATTTTTCCTCCGAGTCCGCCGGTTTTCCCCTCCACATTTAGAATCAACACGACGTGTTTAGAGTATATGACTGCTATAGTTGTCCACATGATTATAAGCCACTTCGTTGGGCTATCATTTGCTTCGGAAAGAGATATACAGTATAGCTCAGTGTCCCTTACATTCTAAAATAAAAAGTGTGTAGTTAAATTCAAAGTGTGTAGTTAAACGCAAACTCATGAAAGGTGTTTCATGAGTTTTAGTTTAATTGATGTGTTTACGTGACGGATGATACTGTTGAGCCAGTTACCCGGCTATTTTTTCGGGAGATCCACGGTGCGTGATTCGATAATATAATGAGGACATACTAAATAAGTGTTAGCACAAATCTAACATGTGCTCTATTGTCTAAAGAGTCAAATATAGCAACACAGAGCATGACATCTGAGTGAGCGAAGCATCACTCATTATATCGAGTGTGTGCATGTGAATACAAATGCGACTTTTGGACGAATGTTACGGGTACAACAGTACAAACGAGATAGAGTGAGGCAGTCAGTACAAACCAGACAGAGCGAGACATACAGTACAAGCGAGACAACGAGACAGGCATTAAAAGTGAGATAGGGCGAGACAGGCAGGCAGTACAAACGAGACAGAGCAGCACAGGCAGTACAAACGAGATGGGCAAAGATGGACAGCACAAACGAGATGGAGTTACACAGGCATTGCAAACGAGACAGGACAAGACAGGTAATACAAACGAGACAGAGCAACACAGGCATTACAAACGAGACAGGACAAGGCAGGTAATACAAACAAGACAGAGCAACACAGGCAGTACAAACGAGATAGAACGACACAAGCAGTACAATCGAGCCAGGGCGAGACAAACAGTTCAGATGAGAAAGAGCAAAACAGAAATTACAAACACTACACAGCTACACAGGCAGTACAAACGTGATAGTGCGAGACATGCAGTATAAACGAGATGGAGAGAGACAGGCATTAAAAACGAGACAGGGCAGCACAGGCAGTACAACCAAGATGGAGCGAGACAGCCAGTACAAACGAGATGGAGTTACACAGGCAGTACAAACGAGACTGAGCAATACAGGCAGTACAAACGAGAAAGGGCGACACAGACAGTTCAAACGAGATGGAGCAAGACAGACAGTACAAACGATTTGGAGCAACACAAGCAGTATAATTGGATGCTGCTCGTGAGAGCGGTCCAGCGTCACCTACACGGTCCAGAGGCGCTCTGTTCCGCTGAGCACCACCTTCTGGGCCCGTTATCTACAGACATCCGTCGTCACTGACGATGGTCGGCACCACGGACTGAGGGATGGAGGCCTTCCTTTGCACTTGCCGTTCTGCCATAATACCTTTGTTATTCCCCCGCAGACGGCCTTGCCTCCTCACTTCCGGCGCTGTTGTTATTGTCGTTACTGTTATAATTGTGTTGCTATTCCTCTGCTGATTGTAGAGGAGTATTGTGAGTAACCAATGAAGGGGCGAGCAGAGGGAGGTGTGAGCGAGTTGCCATTTAATAATGACGTAACATCACGGATTATGAAACGGGCTTTGGAGAACACTTCGGGAACATGGGCAGAGCCGAGCTGGGGGGGAGGAGCCGCCTAAAGGGTTCTTAAAGGGGGCCCCGTGACAGAGGCGTGGTCGTCGTAGGGAGTCGGGGTAAGGATCGCCTGCAGAGGGTCTCTCCCTCCTCGTTGCGGAGCGCTGTTGGCTGAACCCCCGCTCCGGGCAGACGAGAAGGAGAGCCAAGGGGATGGCCAAGGGTAGGGTCCCGTAGTATTCAGTAAGGGTCGGCTGGAAGAGGGTCTCTCTCTCCTCGTCGTGGAGCGGTGTTGGCTGAACCCCTGCTCTGAGCAGACGAGTGAGAGAGCCCAAAAGGTAGCCGAGGGTAGGACCCAAATAGTATTCTGTGTCCGGGGTAAAGGATTGATATAGAGTGCAACTACACTGGTGTAAGCGTAGGATGTTGAGTGTAACAGTGTTTTATTTAACGACAAACAGCCCTTCCTCGTCTCCGTGTGGTTTTTCTCCACTACATTTGGTGCCAGAAGTGGTCAAGTCGGCCGCTAAGTGAAAGAACCCACCCGTTGAGCAGTCGGATGATGAGGACGGCCTGGATGTGGTCCCTACGATGCCCCCGGAGATGCGCCCCATGCAGCCGGTGCAGGAGGAGGAAGCTGCTAATCCTGCCCGGCCACCAACGTCGGAGAACTGGTGGATCGCCGCAAGCCATCTCGGTCAGTTGTTGGAGACTGCCACGTGCCTGGTCCCGCAGATGTCCATGGCGGTAGTCCAGCCGTACATGGCCATTGGCGAGTCGGAGCTGCCATTTCCCGACATTTCTTCGGGCGCCACGTGGGTGTTTTGCACAATTTTGTCTTCACCTGCGACACAGCAACCGGGCGCCATTTTGTCTTCACCTGCGGCGCAAGTATCGGGCGTTATTCTTCCGGCCGCACACACACCGCCGATCACCCAACTTGGTGCACTCGCGCCGGATTTTGCCGCTATGGTGTTTAAACATTGCCGCCTGCCTCCGGTTCGCCCATTCGTCGTGTCGGGGTGCGATTGGACAGCTTTTCAGTGTCATTTTGAAGCGGCGTACGTCTCTGTCGGGTGGTCGAGTGAAGAGGCTCTGCGTTCACTGCCAACGGCCTTGGACGACGACTCCTTGGCCGCGTTTAATTCCATCCTGACAGCGGATCGAGTGACACTCCCGCAAGTGTGCGCGCAGATGGCCGCCATCTTTGACCTGCCATCGAACGCGCGCCGAAGTTTTTTGCTGCGGAGACGGGGGGAAGCCGAGACGCCTCTCGCCTTCCGCAGCGCGTTGCTGGCGCTTGGGCAAGCGCCTTACCCTAAGATGGACTCGGCGGCGCTCGACTTCCTGGCGCTAAAACATCTGTTTTCGCTGGCGCGGAAGCTGGGCGTCGTCCTGTCCGTCGCGAAGGAGGTGGACGTATCCTCTCTTAAAGTGGCCCAGGGCATTCAGGCCCACATCGGCCTGCGCCAGTGGCCAGGGGTGGCAGCGTGTGCAGGGGATGTTAAGCCACTGGAAGTCATCACACCACAGGAGGGTCAGCAGGCGTGCGCCTTCATTGCACGCGACCAGCGCGGGAGGGGTGCCGTAGGACGTTGACCGGGAGGGCAGTGGCAGGCGAGGGCTCCTTCGCGAGGGCCTTGGCCCACCACTTGCTTCAGGTGTGGCCAGCCGGGCCACATCGCCAAGGGTTGCCGCAATAACTTCGGAGCCTTCTCTAGGACTCCGTCTTCCCCCTCCTTCACGTCGACCTCTTCCTCTGGGCCAAAGGTGAGTCGTGACACATTATCCACTTGGCCGCTCCCCACACCTCATTCATCTAGCGAGGGTCGGGTATCAGATCGCCGTGTCACACCCAATGTGGTAGAATCTCGCGAACAGAGTTCACAGTCGCTCGCCGAGTGGCCAAAGGGTGTGCGGCAATGGGACGCGCTTGCACATCGAGTGGTGGCAGCAGCGGCAGGTTCCTCCGCAGTTATGGGTTATATTCAAGGGGTGGAGGTACGCATTTTGGTGGATACAGGTGTGTCCGCCACCATTATATCAGACTCAATTTTCAGTATTTTTGTCGCATGACATTGGATGGTAGAGCTCGGTTGCTAGAGCTTATGTAGCCAAAAATGGGGAGTTTTGGCATTTTGGGACAGATTACCGCCTCTGTACGAATCGGGGATATCGAATTGGTGGGTCCCATGTTGTTTTCCAAGAAATTGGCCGTGCCATGTCTTTTGGGTACAGACTTTCTGGCCAAAATGCCCCTCAAGATCTTAATCGATCAGGGCCGCCGATTGAGAATTTTACACTCCCCAACTCGCTTGACTTCAGTTGCCGCCAGTGTCCAGGCCCTGGCTAGGAAATCAGTAAGAATTATGCCGGGTACTCAAATGCTTGTGCCCTTGAGGTTGCGGAAACACGTACAATCGCCAATCCCTGGTGCAGGAATCCTTTTAACTCCCTCATATTTTTTATCGCGAAGTTCTTCCCTAGTGGGGGCCCTGACGGTCATGGCGGTAAACCAAGAACCCTTTGTGCAAGTTGTTAATGCGGGTCCGTCGCAGGTGGTCATCCAGGCAGGCACCGTCCTGGTGCACGTAACCCCAGCCCAGTCAGCGGAAGACACCACGCCCTTTGATGGTCTTGTTGACAGCGTGGTTGGAGCTAACGATTTGGACAGGGAGTGGATCGATAGGCTTTGCTCGAAGAATCCGCACCTATCACTTGAGGAGTGCGATCGCCTTCGGGTGCTTTTTAATAAATAGGGCGGCATTTTCAGTCAGAGAAACTTTGATATAGGCCGTACTTCCCTCATCTCATCACATCGACATGAGAAATTCGCCCCCCATTCGGTTAAACTCTCACCGGCTAAGTCCTGGAGAGAAAGATCATGTCCATGTGGCTGTCAATGAGATGTTGGCGGCGGACATCATCTCTCCCTCTAATAGCCCGTGTGGGGCCCCCATAGTTTTGGTTAAAA